GGATCCTCTTAGTTTTGGTTGTATTATCGATAGAGACTCTGATATGATTTTTGGAAAGTTACCGGAAGATCAGAGAAAGAATTTAAGAGAAATCTTAGATTTACCATATCATAAATTTGAAATGAGTCCAATTATTTCTGAATTTGTTAAAGTTCTATTAGAAAGATCGAAAAGTTTAAACAAAAGAGAGATGATGGTTTCTCTTCCGCCTATATCGATGAACTTTCAAGGAAATGATGAGGAATTTGAAGATATATGTGTGATGTATAGAATTATAGATTCAATGTAGGTAATTAAGCTTCTCAACCTGTAAATCAATCAATTTCTGATCTTTTTTGTTTTTGTAGACGACATATCTGGTGTCACTTTAAAGACGAAAATAAGGCTGAATATACGGAGGGAACGTATATTGTTCGAATAGTATCAAGCTTTCTTGATCCATTATTCTGCTATGAAAATGCCAAACTTAAAATTATCTGGTATTTTTTTAAATATTATTTAATAAAGGATATGGGTTTTGTTTATATAAAATAAAAAAATGTATTATATATTATAACAGGGCTGAAGAAGTCTCGGAAGCATCCCAACGTCGGATGGATGATTCCGGGGAAACAAGAATTGGGCATAAGCCTGATTTTCGGATAAAGTCACCATTAATAGTTGATGAAGTGGAAATATGTCTTATGGAAGCTTCACGAGTTCTTCCTACTGATAAAAAAATTCGGGAAGACTGGGATAAGTTGATAAAACTTATGAAGGATGCCCATGTAAGATTGTTGAGGAAGCTTACTAGAGGAAGAGCAGGGGAAATGAAAGGCTTAGAAGAAGAGCTTAATAAGGTTCCAGTGTTTGGCATTCAAGTTGCTGGTACGTAATATCATATTCGATCTTTTTTTTTACTTAGAAATAACCCCTTCTGTTTTAGGTGGAACTTTGGCATGTTGGGTTATGACTATGCCATTTGGTGCTTTCTACTTTGTTCAACGTCTTGCCTCAGTACAAATTCCGATGAATCGGGGACAGTCTTCACTTACCGAATTTATGAATGAATTGTGGAAGTTGAGAGTAAGACTATCATCTTTTGATGAAACAAAGAAAATTGATATATACAGTATATATACTGGTTAATTAATAGAATTTTTAAATATGTAGGCAATTCTACGGAACCATATCCGTGCCCTTAATGAAATTATAGAAAAAGTCGATTCATCTTTATATAATATAGCTATTTGTTCTCCACAGGCTCGAGA